GGTTTTCACATGTTATAGGATAAAAGAAAATAAAAGATAAAAGAAGAGAAGGAAAACGGATTTGAAACTAATGTTACAAATAAGTTGTACATGATAAATACACTCCACCCTAAAACAACATAATAATAATTGCAAATGTCGAAATTATGAATTATATGTTTTTAGTTTTTTACCGGTGCTATGGTATATGTGTGGGTTTAATGCAAACCAAAAGATAAACCCATTAGATTTAGGTGCTGTTTGTTTTTTCGAAGAGAAAATTTATGAAGTCTACGGACTACCTCTACAATCTTCTGTACCAGAAAATGTGGAACAAAAGGCTGCAGACTATAATAAAAAATATGTTTGTTTTTTAACATCTGCAGACTGCTGCAGTAAACTGAAATTTTAATAAACTAATTTTATAAAGTGAAAATAGTTCTCAACACTGAAATTTTAATAATTCTAGTCTTAAAACATATTGAAAGAATACTAAAAAGAACATGTAAAAAACCAAAATCTAAAACTTAAATAAATAAATAAATAAAAATTAAAAAAAAAACTTAAAAAAATATAAAAGAAGCTAACAGTTTTATTCTAGAAAAAATCTAATTGTAAAAACCATAAAAAAATAATAAAAAAAAAATGAAGAAAGTATTGCAAACGATGTCTACAAAATTCGTAAAAAATTACACACGTTAAAAAAGATACAACTGAAACTGAAAATATTATTAATAGAAAAGACTAATATTATAAAAACCCTAAATTTTTAACGCGTAATTGTAAAAAGCCCTAATATTTTTTTATTATTGCTATGACCACAACTTTCTTGCATAATTATCACTCTAACCCAATTAACGAGTTTTATGGTTAACTTTGTTAACTTTTTTTTTACAAAATCAGCCCTAAAAAGTACAAATTTGGTCCCTGGGTTTGCAAAAAATTACACCACATGGTTTTTCAACTATATTTTTCATTTTTTGTATACTTTATTTATTTTCGGGTTTTTTTTTATAGATATATATACATTTTTTATTTTCTGTTTTTATATACTTTATTTATTTTCATTTTTTAACTTTTTTTTCAACAATTTGATTTTTTTTACCTTTTGTTTTCTATTTTTTTTTCTTATTTTAGTTATTTATGGCATTTCTAATGTTTTTATTTACTTTAATTCAAGTAAACGAACTTGAATTCAATATAAATTACTATAACAAGTTTTTTTTTTATACAGACCGACTATTTTTTTTAGTCTATTATAAATTTGAAAAAGATTATCTTGAATTTAATCTATTGATATCATAGATTGAAATATGATTTAATTTCCAAGTTATATAACATATTGAAACACTAATTCTCAGTAAATAAGAAAAAAAAATAGAAAGATGAAAAAATAAAATATAATACGAAAAGAAAAATGAGAAAACCTAAAAAAAAACTCTAATATACTCTATGTATACACTAAAAAATAGAAAACAAAAGGTAAAAAGGTGAAAAAAAAATTGTTGAAAAAAAAAGTTGTAAATGAAAATAAATAAAGTATACACACACACACACACACACACATATATATATATATATATATATATATATATATATATATATATATATATATATATATAAAATAAAAAATGTATATATATTTATAAAAAATCAAAAATAAATAAAGTATAAAAAAAACGAAAAAAAAAGTTAAAAAACCATATGGTGTAGTTTTTTGCAAACCTTAGGGACTAAATTTGAACTTTTTAGGACTGATTTGGCAAAAAAGTTAACCAACTTAACCATGAAATTCGTTAAGTGGGCTAGAGTGATAATTGTGCGAGAAAGTTGTGGCTGTAGCAATAATAAAAAAAAAAACATTAGGGCTTTTTCTAATTACGCGTTAAAAATTTAGGGCTTTTATAATATTAGTCCTAACAGAAACGGTAAAAAATTTTAAAAATCACTTTTTTTAAAAAAAAAAAAAATCAAGTTAAAAAAATTTGTGGGTACTATAAAAAGAAATTGTATCAAATCCGTAAATAAAAGTTTAAAGAAATCAAAGTTTTTTTTTTATTTTTTATTTTTTATTTTTATTTATTTATTTATTTTTTTAATATAGACAAAATTGCAAGAATGGTCCCTATGTTTAGGTCGAAATTGCCACTTTGGGCTAACCAGGTTTGGACTAGAACTTATGGTCTAAAAGTTTTCATTTTCTTGCCACTTTGGTCTACTTTACTTTAAACTTTTTTGTAGTGCCGATTTTGCCCTTGGATTTTGTTTTTTCAGTTATTTATTTATTTAAATACTTTTATAATTAGAATAAAAATAAAAAATATACATCTCTTTCTTTCTCTCTCCCCTCTCTCTCTCTCTCTCTCTCCCTCCTTCCCCTCTCCCTCTCTTTCTCTTGTAAACATCATTCTCCTGCACCATCACCCACTAATGAACACTAAATTGTGAATATTAACTCCAAATTCTTCCCCACCGACTATCAGTTTATGGATAAATTGAAAGGGTTAATGGGGAGCAAACTAAACCAAAATCAATAACAAAACTCAAACCAGTTTTCCAAAAACTCAAAGTGGTGTCTCCGATGTAATATAAGGAAGGAAGAAGTGGGAACAAGATTAGGAACTAGATCAGAGTTTGCATCTGTTGGTGGTTAACGATTCGATATCGGAGAAGTAGGAAATCAAACATGTTTTCATATTCACCACCACCCGAATCAATTTTTATGTATGACACTCGAACCCAAAAATCATTTTTTTGGATCTAATGAACTGACCTTCACCACAATCTAAATTGATTTTTGTGTGTGAAACTCGAACCAAAAAAAACAACAAGATCTAGATTCTAAATAGAAAGGAGGGAAGGATGCTGAGAGGAGATGAAATTGACTTTGATGATCTTTCTCCCCAATCCAGAACTAAGTGTGTGTGTCAATTTCCAGAGCTTCTGTAACACCCAAAATTTTCAAATAATTTTTTTACATTTTAAAAACACATTTTCATTCATAATTGTTATAAAAACATCATTGTATCACATAATCAGTTCATAACATCACATCCCAAGATCATAATATGTAAAAACTCCTCAAGTGTGTACTGATCAAGCCGATGCCTTTCCGCGATCCTCACTGGTACCTGAAACACATAACATAACACTGTAAGCATAAATGCTTAGTGAGTTCCCCCAAATACCACACGCAACACATATTAGCCACTCGAGGCTATAACTCTGTTTGACCCTCTGGTCAATGTGTCTCAGTGGGACCTTCTGGTCCCATAACTCTGAAGGCCCTCTGGCCCTAACTCTGTCGAAATTACGGTCCAAACTTTGTAAACTCTGTAACATACATAGCATAAAGCACATAGAAATCTCATCATGCAAAACATACAAATATTCTATCACATAACTCTAATTACCACTCTAGGTAAAGTATAGTGAGGAGACTCACCTTGGGTAACTCGGTAATCTTGAACTCTGTAAAAATCTGGTCTAGCCTCCGCCTAATCATATGAAATAAACACTCTAAATTAATACATCTCTGAAGGCTAGACTATTCCCTCTCATAGTAGTCTCAGAAGGGTAAAAGACCATTTTACCCTCCTCATGGCTCCAAGACCCTAAAATTGACCAAACCCTAAAAGTCAACAAAATTCAACTCTCCGGGTTACGTTGCACGTACCAAACATGTACGCTAGGTGTACCCGGTGTCTTCATAGAAACAGGGTGCCCGACCCCTTACGCCGCGCGTATTAGGATTACGCCCCGCGTAACTCCCAGTTTCAGACTCTAAGCTTTTGGAGTCTTAAACAGTTAAGACCCACGTCCAAATTCTAGATTTGACCATTTCTAAACCTCTTAATCCATAAAGTTGGTGACTTTAAGCCTTTGCATGGCTGGACAAGTCACTAACACCCATAATATTCCATTTCCCAACTCTAGAAAGCTCATAACTCAAGCATGACCTCGTTTCAAAGACCAAGATGGAAACTTTATGGATCTATAACACAAATACCACTGAAATGGGACAGATCTAGGTCCATGGAGCACATTACACTCATAAAGTCTCCACCTTTGGGACTTTTAACCCTAAAAAAGGTACATGCAACATCAAACCAAATAAAGAGGAAAGTTTTGAACTTTATACCTCTAAATGAAGCTCCTTTCTCTGAGGATCTCAGATCCAACCCTGCACTTCAAGTCCTAGCCTCCACAAGCTCTTCTCCTTCTTCTTTACTAACACACCAAGACATTTTTAGCTCCAAAATACACACACTCAAGCTATGGACAATGGAAGGCTCTCTCTTAAAGTTTCACTCTCTGGATGGAGGCCGGGAAATGAGCCTTAGCATCCTTTAAATAGTGCACAAGCCAAACATTTAGGGTTTGTATCTGGACCCATTACGCCCAGCGTAAACCTGGGTATGCCCAGCGTAACCCTGGGTACGCCCAACGTACCCAGCCGAGTCCGCATCCAAAATAAGTGTATGAGTACGCGCAGCGTACTCCCTAGTACGCCCAACGTACTCATTTGCTACAAGAACTCTCTCAAGGGACCAATTTTGAAAACTTGATAAAATGGAAGCGTTAAATAGATATACTTGGATTTCGGGATGTTACATCTTCCTTTGTCATCATCAACTTACAGAAGATCTAAATCCGATTGCTTCGATCTCCGATCACCTCCATTAATGTCGTCTGTGTCTCCTTCTTTCCTTCTTCAAACTCAATTTCAGGTCACACTTAAGAGGATGAATAAAGTGACCCTTTATTTTTTTTTTCCTTTTTTTGTTCGATCGCAGGTGATAATTCTATGTTCAATCACAACCCCTCAATTCTTCAACCTTCTTCTTTCTTAATATTTTTGAGTTGCAGTTTGATCAGAAGAGAAATGGAAGAACAAGGAAAATGGGGATGATGTGTTCTCGATGGTGATGATTTTTCGTGGTGAGTTGAAGATGAATATGATTGTGATTATGTGAAGGCTCGATTTTCTGGGAGCAATTGGTATTTTTGGTGGTGTAGCGATGGTTATGGTGGTGACCGGAGGATCTGCTTTGATGGAGATGGGAGGGGAGTATTGGGCGTTCTTCATGTTCTTAAAGGTGGATTTGTGTGCTAGTGTGTGAAAAGAGAGAGAGAGAGAGAGAGAGAGAAATAGATAGAGATAGAGAAAGAGAGAGAGAGAGAGAGAGAGAGATGGATGGGGGGAGGAAGGGAGAGAGAGAGAGAGAGAGAGAGAGAGAGAAAGAGATGTGTATTTTTTTTTTTATTTTAATTATAAAAGTATTTAAATAAATAAATAACTGAAAAAAATATATAAGTGACAATTTCGACTTAACCACAAGGACCATTTTGCAATTTTGTCAAAAATATATAAAAGTTTTAAAAAAAAATAAGTTACACCAAAAATTCTAAAAAAAACACTTGGAAAAAATGAAAGTTGCAGAGGTTTGAAGAGGCATGTCAAGTGCTGCGCCACGCATCAGACGCACAGAGGTTTTGTAGTCTGAAGTCTTCTAAAAAATAAACTATTGTGATAGGTAAAGTGTTGCATGTGTGCTGCATCACACAACAAAAATTGGTTTGAAGAGGTTTTGTTAAAAAAACAAATAACACCTTAGACAATGATAGTCTATAGATTCTCTCTTAGTTTAGTTTTCAAATGGGCCAAAATGAATTTGTAAAGTAATTAACTATTATTTTTGTATTTTTATATTTATTTGTTTAAGTATTTGTATATAATTTATCATAAAACTCATATAAGCTGTAAAATCTACAATTTTTATAGGATTTTATACGTTAATTTTTTTGTATATGATTATTAAACTATTTTGTACACCAAATTTGCCATTAAGTCATGTTCTGCACATATTTACAAGCAATATCATCCACACCTACCGTTACCATCCATCTCCCACCAACATCATCCATCTTTAACGACAAACAACATCCTCTATCACCACCATTTGCCACCACAACCCTCTATCTCCTCATTTACTAACCTCTATCTCCTCATTTACTACCACCACCATGAAAAGTAATCTAAAATCCTTAAACTGATGAGGTTAATGTTGACATATGGTCAAAAAGAAAAGGGCAAAAGATATGGATGTGGGGATAGAGTGTTTTTAACAAAATATCATGAGAGAGATAAGAGTAGAGAAAGGTGTGAGTGGCGACATGAATAAGTGGAGGGGTCGTGCCATTTTCACCGGCTAGGAAAATAAAGAGATTGTGAGCTTTGTAATGCTTTCAAAAAATAAACATTTAAAGTGGTTTTATATTTTTCTTTGGAATTGTGTCGGCTTTATAAGATAACCAAAAATTGATGATAACTGAAAAGGATGAAAGTCATTAAATATGTATAAAATTTAATTTTATGGTCGATTATATAAAAAATGTTAGTTTAATGGTGTTTTTTTTTTAGTGTATAGAGTGGCTATATCTATAGTAACAGTAAAAATGCTATTTATTTCAACAAAAAATGTGAGTTTAATGGTAATTGTATACCGAAAATAAAAAAAAAAAAAACTAATTAAATATATACAAAAATGGAAAATGACTTAATAGGGTAAAATGGTTCTCGTTTTATACACGTTTAGTCCTTCTTGTTTTTTTTCTTCTAAAACAAGTCCTTAAACTTATTGTTGTTGTACACGTTCAGTCCTTGTGATTGACTACTCGAGATTAAGTTTTTAGTTTGTATACATTTAATCCTTAATGTTTTTTTTTTGCAACATAAGTCATTGTTTATATATATATATATATATATTATATATATATATATATATATATATATATATATATATATATATTCAATCTTTATGATAAGTTTCTTAAGGTTTTTTTTCAAATGACATCATATATGGGAGAATCATTAATGATGTGTTTTCAAACGTGGCTAGTCTGGAAAGTGGATGTTGAATCTATGTGCTTAAGAATCATTATTGAATAATCTACATAAGTGAAGAAAATATATTATCCATAATGATTTCTGTTGTTGGAAATAATGCCCATGTTCATAAATTAATAGTAGTTATTGACATGAGAGTTTATTGGGGATTCATTTTGTTACTTTATTAGTTTAATAGAAGTTCATGATATGTCTCCTTAGTCCTCACAACAGAACCTTAATCGTTCTAAGGTTTTAATATTTCATTAAACACGAAGTTTATTTGAATTTGAAATCTGAAATAAGTAAAAATTATGAGAAAAAAAAACATGCAAAACAAATAAATTAAAATTATGTTTTTAATTGTAAAATCCGCGTACTAAACGTGTTAATTATAACAAAATGTTAAATACGAAGAATTCAAATGTACATTTTTTTAAAATTGAAACTGAAGTTTGTAACTTGAAATTTGAACTTTGAAATTAAAATAGTCATTATGGTATCTTTAATTTATGGAAACTAAATTTATTATAAATTAAAAAATGAAAAATGAAGTAAATGACAAATGGAAAATAAATATCTCAAAATTATAACAAAATGACATGTAACATAATGTATGAGAGAATGATATGTGATAAAATTATTTTAATTTATTATTAAGAAGGGATTTACGATTCAAGGTGGTTGAGACAGAGAACCTCTTTTTTAATAACTGCAAGCTCATCTTCAAAATTTAGGGTCAATTTGAAAAGAAAAAATAATTCTATTTTCTAAAAAATGATCAAAATTGACATACCAAGGAATTAGGGAATACGCTAAACTTTTTTCATTGTGTCATTTTGTCTTGAATGTCAATTCGAGTTGGGAAAAATTAACCATAAATAATCTCGTTGTCTTCTACTGAGAGAGATGAAACTGAAGTCGAAAACATCTTCTTCTTGAAGAAAACTAAGGTAGTGTTTGATATGCGTTTGACTGAGTCCGATCAGACGATTTTGGCTGACTTGGTTAGCAAAAACGTGTTTGATAATCCATCTATTAGCATCTGATTCAGTAAGAAAAGTCTGATTCAGATATAAGATGTAAAATATCTAACTGAGAAAAAAGGATACATTTCCATCATTACCCTTTCCATACTGTTTCTCAACGCCTTCATCGTTCAGTCATCATTCTTCTCCATCGAATCTTATAGAGCCTCCATAGCCACACATCAACCGATAGTATTGACGATTTATGTAATATTCATCGACCTACGATCTCCTCCAGAATAACACCTCCATCGAGTGCCTCTTCTCATCAGGTATGAAATTGGGATTCGATTGTTGCCAAATTGCAATATTTCTACCATTTAAGATTTCGATGTGTAATGAATTTTGCGGGGTTTTGGTGTAGGCAGGCATAAACATGGTGGCAGAGCTGATTAGAGTTACTTTGGGTCCAAGAAGTAGGAATGTAGTGTTGCAGAACAAGTATGGTCCTCCCAAGATTGTTAATGATGGTGAAATTGTTCTCAAAGAGGTTAGTAAAAGAATTTTCTTCCATAATTTTTGTTTTTTCTGTTATTTAACAATTGGGTTCATCTGTTGGTTCCTCTCCAAAAATCTATAAAATGTTTATAAACATTAATCAACTATGCATCCCTACGTAAGTAGTTCAAACTGGTTACAAATGATTATATAGTGTTTATATAAATGGACTCCAATAGAGTTATCTTCCAAGTGTTTGTTGATTTGCCTTAATGAGATTCATTCCACTATTAATAATTGTTTTATTTACATTCAATTAGAGAACCTTATTGAGAATGTTGGTATGAAACTGGTTGCAATTGATTTTTGCTCTTGGGTGTTTCATGTTAATCTTGATTTTGATACCTGAAGGCTGGTGATTTTTGCTCATACACACATACATACATATCACGTTTTAATGGAGATGAAGGTTGGTGAAATTGTTGGTTGATATGGAGAAAAGGGTGGAATTGTGGGGGTAAGGTAGAGGTTCTATGGATGGATGGGGTTATGGTGGAGGTTCAAGATGGGTGATAGTGGTGTAGATGGTCTGTGGGAATAGAGAAGGGTAGTTGTAGAGTTGATAATTCATCTGTTAAATACATTTGTGATGATTTAAACAAGTTTTTTTTTCCCAAGATATCATCTGTTGAATACATTTGTGATGCTTCAAACAAGTTTTTTTCTCTTTCAAAAAAACTTTATACCTTTGTGATGATTTCAATGTGTTGGATATTTATGTTTTAGGATGTTGATTTGAAACAAGTGTGAGCTAATATTTGTATAACAAATACTAGTATGTTTTTATAATTCTTTAACCACTTTGTCAATTCCGTGTAAAGCAATAGGGTAAAATGGTTATTTTTCACCAGTCAGCTCATTAGTCAGATTTACAATCAAACAACATGGTTTCTTAGTCAGTCATAATTTCTTACTCAGACAAACCTTTCCCAGTCAGCACTTTTTCAACCATCAACTATCAAACGGGACCTAAGGCACCAACATTATTTGAGCGATATGTGAATTAGGTCATTGATATAAATGAGGGAGGAGCCTCGTACAAAAAAACATTATTAATGATTGTCTCACGTAGGATGACATATTTGTCACTATTTAACATAAATAAGAGAAAGGATTCTATGATTTAGGAGATAAAATATTTTTTAATTCAACTAATTTACTAGTCCCTGTAAATAGAAAAAAAAAAAGTTAAAAAAATTGTAATTTATTTTTAGACATATTTTAGATTAATTGTGAGACTTGTATACTATACGAGTTGATTAAAACAAAACATTAAATAAGAATTATTAAATTGGAAGAATATTTGATTTTGAAATCTGAAATAAATAAAATTTATGAGAAAAAAATGCAAAACAAATAAATTAAAATTATGTATTTACTTGTGAGACTCATGTACTAAACATGTTAATTATAAAAAAAATATTAAATACGAAGGTTTAAAGTGTAAATTTATTTAAAATTGAACTTAAAGTTTGTAATTTGTAATTTGAAATTGGAATTTAATATAGTAATTATAATTTATGAAAACTAAATTAATATAGTCATTATAGTATGTTTAATTAATGGAAGCTAAATTAATGATAGATTGAAAAATAAAAAATGAAGTATATAACTAGTCTAAAATAAATATTTCAAAATTACAACAAAATAATAAATAAGAAATTAAATATTTTCATACTTTTGTTCCTACAAATCTCTTTATCTAATTAAATGATGAAATATGTTATATTAATCTATTAAAAATCATTAAATGATACATATCATTATTCAATTGGGTATGATGATTTATAGAAAGAAATAGGCAAGGATATTTAATTTTCATAATAATATATGACAAAATTATCCAAACCCATAAAAAGGTACTGTTAAGTGTTAACGCTTGAAGTAGAAGTTAAAAGGAGAAGGCACAAATATTTGGCTATCGGCGTTGCAACAAGCCAACACTTGACTAATACGACAAAAAGTTGCCTCGCTTTGGTTCCTTTCACCTTCCTCTTTTTATTAGTCAACAAAAGGATGCTCGGAATGTCACCATGCTTTTGCACACCCTCACCATTTCTACATATATAAATGGTACTCCGGGGAAGTGGGTAAAGGACCATAACCTAAGCTTCCACCTCTCTCTCTCTCTCTCTCTCTCTCTCTCTCATTAAGAACTGAAAATGTTTTCAAGATTGATGACATGGAGTTACATTACATCGGTTGTTACCCAATTGAAATGGGCATGGGATCTCTTGATTCACCTATGTTTCTTCAACCACTGCATGCAACTTGAAGTGCCTGTAATCGGTCAAGAGCTTGGTATAAGCAGATTTCACCAGAACAAGGGATGTGGGGATACAGTAGATTGTGCAGTATGTTTGTCGACCATTGAAGAAGATGACGAGATTAGAGTATTGAGATGTGATCATCTCTTTCACAAGGGTTGTTTGGACCGATGTGTTGAATATCGACACACTACATGCCCCCTCTGCCGTGATGTTCTTGCAGGACCTCGAATGGTTTGTGAGCTCGGCCGGGAACTGCTCAGTTTCAGTTTCTGTTCAACGAGTGGGTCAAGTGATGATGATTGTGATAGATGGTGGATCCGGTAAATGATCAACAAATTAAATGATTGTTTTATTTTATTTTTTCAACTTAGAAATTAATTCTAAGTTGTGTAGATGATATGCCTCGAAGATGAGGGACTTGTAGTCCGTTTTTGTCAATAGTTCATTTATCATAAAACTTCTACAACCTTGTCACCAAGGATTCAAAGTGATATTTTCTGATATCTTTTTTAACCGCCCATTAAGGCTAACTCATCTAAGCCACAAAACACTCGCATCTTTTTTTTTTTGAACAACAAGCCACAAAAGGCTAGAGGAGCAAAATGTTGTAATTAAGCCACAAAAGGCTCATATTTGGCAAAAATAAGATCTATCTCCATTAAATTAAGACATAATCTAACAAAGCACTTGATGTCTCTAGCAATATTTTCATCTTTTAAATACTTTGATGACATAATGAAGCTATTTGAAGGTACAAAGATCAATTCAATATAATAACGCCGAAAATTGTAGTTTTATTGCAATAGTTCGTCAAGAGAAACCCAAATTACATGTAATGAATGACGAGCTTTAACTTACTGAATCACCGGTCTAGATGTGATCAATTCGAACTCCAATTTCAGTCGAACATAATGCAATAATTGCATGATCACATGCTAGCACCAAGCGTTATCATGGTCACGAGCTAGCTTCAAGAATAAGATTACCTTTCAAGCCTTTAGTGAGATGTCAGGTACATAATTTCGAAAACGAGAAATAACGGAAGCGTATTTAAATATTCTACAAAAATAAATATTACATAATCAGACAATTACGCATTCTCCCTTCCCTAAGTGACATGACACATTCATTATGCTAACTACATTAGTTATAACTGAATCGTTAATTGCTTACCTTATATCCTCTTCAATCATTCCATTATATACACAAGACTAAACGGATTAATGGAAAGTTGCAATCATAGTCTAATTACAAAGCTTGAGTGATAGATAAAACAATTGCAATATACATTACACTACAAGAAATCAAAGCATTAGCGGCGACATGTAAATGACGCGTTACATGTCGCTGCTATTGCTAGGTGTCGCCGCTAATGCTTTGATTTAGTGATCCGTGTCATTTTCATCCCATCCGTCCGATTTGCTTTCGATCTAACGACTGTTGAGGAAAGCGGAAAGACGCGTATTAACGGCAACATTCAGCGTATTAGCGACGAATAATAGATCCGTGAGTGGACATATATAACTCGAATAGTAAATTTTGAAGCCAACATAGTTCATAAAGAGTTGGTTGACATTTGGAAGACCACAAGATAACACTACCAGAAAAGGATAGTTATTCCTACGAAATTTTCCCTAGAAAATTCCTACGCATTTTCGAGGAAATTTCCTCTCTCGGAAAAACCCTCGTAGGAAAACCTTTCCTAGACATATCTGAGAAAATATTTTTGTAGGAAATATCAAGGACTTTCCTACAAATGCTTATTCTAGGAAAATTTCCAAAGGAAGCACGTTCCTAGGGGATTTCCAAGGGAATTTATTTTCAAGGGATTTCCGAGGGAATGTTTTCCTAGGGATTTCCGAGGGAGTCTCTATAAGGGAGGAGGGAGTCATTCCCTCCCAACCCACTGAACCCACTGCTACATCAGGGTTTTTTTTTTTTTTTTTTTTTTTTTTAATTCATATTTCTTTATCTTTCTCAACCCATAACACATGGAAACCCAATCTCTTTCAACCCACTCAATTAAAAAAAATACAAAACAATCAAGGTAAAATCTTAATTACCAATAGAGTTACTACCGGTACTACTCCATCTTCAACAGACTGTTTAATTGGTTTCACTAACCCACTTCATCCTTTCTCTCTACTTTCTCTTTCACTTTCTCTTGTACCATGTATTTTAAGATTTATACCTTAGTTGTTTAGTATTTTTTTAATTGAGTGGGTTGAGTGAATTGAAAAAGATAGAATTTCCGTATATTGTTGGTTGGAAAAGATGAAAAAAAAAAAAAAACTGATGTGGCAGTGGGTTGGAAGGAAATGACCCTCTCCTCCCTGATGGCAATTTTTATGACACTTTTGTGATATATTTTGCAACAAAGTTTCCTAGTGTTTTCCTAGGGATATGTGAGAACTGAGAAGACCTACACCAGTTAAAAAAAACAAAAAGCTCACAAAAATCCAGATTCTCTTTATTCAAAATGCAGAAAAATTAGAAACACAAATAACCCAAATACATTTCACTAAGAGAAACATAAACTTAAAATGTATTCATAACCAAACAAGTTTAAACAAACATCTAAATTCACAAATACAATTTAAAATATCTAAGAAACGTAGAAGACTTTTCGACAATAACTAAGTACCATTAGGTGAATTGTTATTACGGAGTTGTCTTGTGATTTCAGTTATTTGAGTTTTCAGTTGTGCATGTCATTCGGCTTGGGTTTGCATTTGTTTAGTTTGGGTTTGCAATTGCTCAGCTTGGGTTTGCATTTGGGTTTGCCTTTCTTCCAACTCTCGAACCTAAAAAATGTTAAAACACATATACATATTTTCAGATTTTTGAACGACATCAAATAACATTAAAATAAATGGGAAGCTTGCATAAAAACAAAAGAGTTCAAACACTAAATAGAGAAAGAACCAATAAGCTAAGCAAACAAAACTAAGACTAAGCCAAATACAATAAGCAAAGCAGGAACAAAAAATATAAAAATATAAAAAGCTAACACCAGAAGTAAGCTAAGCCAAAAAAAAAAAAAAAAAAAAAAAAAAAAAAAAAAAACCAACAACACCACATCTTGCATCGGTACGAGGTTTCAGCTTTGTCCCACGTCTTGCTTCTGAAATGATTCACCATGTGCATACCATATCGAATAATTAGGCATGAATCCGTTAGTATGTAGATGATACTGAACCGACACTCTTGCCTTATAATGATGATTTTGACATTTGGAGCACGAGCATCTAATTTTTAAAATATCTACCCCTTCTACAGTTCACTTACAATGTTAGTTACATTCTTGTATGCAAAATCCAAGAAATATGTGACATGTTGAAATGAGTAAAATATTAACGACGCCAGTTTCCGAAGTCGTGTCTCAGGATGAAGAAGTAGTCTACGCATAATTCTCTCTCTTCGTTTTGGATGTTTCAAAAGTCGGAGTGGTAGGAGTGGTCGGTACCGGTGGTGTTGATGTCAAGATGTTATTTGATGGTGATGTGGTTCTCTTACTCCTTGATCTGCTATGAAACGACGTGTTCTGTGGTTAGAAGTTTATGTTCCGTCTATGAGATTAAGCTTCATAATGATGCATGTGAACAAAATCCCCAAAATAAAACTCAAGACAAAAGCATGAAGTTTAAGCTGGTTATGTCATGGCGGAACCTTCCTGCTCTGGAATAACCTCACAACTAACACCAACTCCGTCTCCTCCATGCTTCTCTTCTCTTCGTTTCCGTTCCGTAAGTCATCTTCCAGTGAAATGTTTGAAGAAGTTCGTTCCATCTTCGCAACCGATTGTTGAGTTTTGATTTTGAAATTGATGAATCTAGAAATGAAATTGAAGTCCTGAAGTGTTAATTTTAGGTCTAATTAATAGTATTATGGCTTTGAATCTATATTTTGTTACATGGCCATTTGAATCGGCAGGAAGGGTACGAGATTGTTCATTATATTGCTAGTGATTTGCAGACAAGAGGAAAGAGGTAGGAGACGTGGGTCATTAACACGAAAGAAGCTAGAGAACGAGAGTCGATTCAAGGATTCTGAGATTGTGTTTTTGAAGGAGAAATTGGAGGAAGCTGAAAGGGACAACAAATTGATCGAGAGGCGATTGAATTCGAGTGGCCCTTTATCGCGTCTTGTAAATCTTTATTTCTAAAAAATGACTCTAACCGGTTTCGTATTAGCTCTGAAGCACACCATGAAAGCGATTCGATGTCTGGTGAAGTTCATGATTACTGAAATGGAATATTCGACTTGGGATCTGGATACAACGACTGAATTGTTCATGGCTTTGAATATTTTCCGGGAACAGTTTCTTAGTGAGATCTTTGGTCTCGAGTGATGGGTACATAGATAGAGGTAAAAGGATTTGATGATGAAAATCAAGAATATGAATCTGGGTTTGATTGATCGACTTGTGGGTATAGATTTTTAGAGAAGTGTCACACTATGTTTGATTGTAGTTGTTGCAGGTTTTCAAAATTTCGGGGATATTGTTGACTCACATGCTTACTTGGCACTTGACAAAGCAGTGTTACCTTCTAATGTAGGTAAAAGTACCAAAATGATCAGTAAATACAAGTTGATACCCTTTAAAGGCAAATAAATGTCACGATGGACCATTTAAACCATTATACTAAAGATTGTTGGGCTACAGTGACAATAACCCATTTAATTGGAGTTTTCCTCAGAATGGTGTAGGAAAATAAAGTGATAATGACTTAAAAGGGTAATATATTTTTTGATTTGTACACATTTGGTCACTGAGTTTTTTTCGTCCACATTTACCCCTTCTACTTGTTAAACTGTACACATTCAGTCCTTATGACCAGTTACTCCAGGTTAGTCGGGAAAAATGACTTAATAGGGTAATATATTACTTATTTTGTACACATTTAGTCCTTAATATTTTTTTGTTTCAAAATAAGTAATTTGTTTTTGTACTCATTTAGTACTTATGAGTGGGTTCTCTAAGTTTTTCTCACGACATCTTACGTGGGCAATCATTGATGAAGTATGTTTGGGGCTGTTGATGTTTATTTGTAACGTCTCATTTTCACAACAAAAAATTTTCAGTTTTAAATAAGGAAAAAGTCCCTAATTATAAATTCATTATTAAGAAAAAATGTTTATTCCAAAATACATTTATCAAAAATCAGAGTAATATAAGAAACGCGGAATCCTCAATATTGTTGATGAGTGTGTACAATCATGCATTCGTCTTCCCGCGATCAATGATAGAACCTGAAAACATAAACTACTGGGTAAGCACAAAGTTTAGTAAATTTTCCCCAAAATAGTCGATATAATAAACG